TTGAATCTTTAGTGATATTATATTCTAATATGACCACAACATAAGGAAGAACACTTTGTCACCTACAAAGTTCAGACCCGTAGATGTGTATAAGAGACAGGTTCAGACCCGTATACATTTATATTTCCTTAGGCCTAAATCATAAGGAAGTCCGCTCTATATCCAAATTTCAGGAAATTATACGTTTTATGCATGCACCGACGTGGGAATTTTGTTTTATGTTGTTTGCAGAATGGTCTTCTTTAAAAATATAACAGTCTAATATGACCACAACACAAGGAAGTTCATTCGTTAAATGTTTAGTAGATATTACAGAGAATTATGATTGTTTATCAAAATCATTATATAAAGGGTCGATGGCCTGCGGATTTTAGCACGAGAACGCGTAGGCGTTACTCCATGCTGAGCTTGGATAGCTGTTCTATAGCTGGGTACTACATTCCGGCTAAAAAAACTCTGTCTTTAGGTCTCCGCATTTTGGCCTTTTTACATCCTGATTGATGCGTCGGGTATAATAGCGTTGTGTTCGTTGACAATCAATAGAAAATTCAAAATTAGTGAGTGGTAAAATAATCGAGATCTCCTTTCGCCCTCTGCTGGATCCGTCACTGAACTCATGAGTACACTTCTTTTTTTCCCTCTTTCTTTCTTCCCTTTAACTCTTCTAAATTTTTTTTTAATTTTTCGGCGTGACTGACAGGGGTGGGGCAACGGGCCCCCGTGGCCCCCCGCTGGATCTGCGCCTGAACCTACCTAGGCATATAGGTTGGCAAATCAGACAAACTATGCTTAGTCCAACTAGCCTTCAATTAAATAAAATTATACAAACTGTTTTTGGTTCAATGTCGTAATAATGTATGTACGAAAGTGCGTTCTATTGTTGGAATATAATAATTTATTGCTTATGTCTTTGATGTCTTTTTTCTCTATATAATGGCCTAAAGAATGAGATAAAATTACCTGATCTTTTTCAAGAGAAGAAAACCTTGAATTTTGAAGAACTTAAAGGCCATTAAAAACTCCTCAGAAGTCGGGAAAGCTTATTTCCGGCCATCTAGGAATCCAAATTTTCCGGGGGAAGTTCCCAGGACCCCTTTTAATGTTGGGGTTTTTTTTTAGACATTTTAAACCACCCTCTTTCATATCCTGGATCCGCCCCTGGCTAGAGTGCATTTCCCTTGTATTTCGAAATTGTTTATAAGTACACAATGCTTTAACCAACACATCGTTAA